ATAATATCATCCACATACACTAACACATATGTAACTTCATCTTGTCTTATACGAATAAAAAGAGATTGGTCAGATTTACTATTAATAAAGCCAAATAGATTTAGCACTGAGCCAAGCTTTTCAAACCATGCTCGAGGAGCCTGCTTAAGACCATAAAGAGCTTTGTTTAAGCAGCAAACCAAGGATTTGTTCTGATTCTCATAGCCTTGAGGCTGCACCATATAAACTTCCTCCTCAAGATTGCCATTGAGGAAAGCATTATTAACATCAATTTGACATAAGAGCCACCCTTTTGTTATAGAAATATACAGAGAGTATAACTCGAATGGTCATAGGTTTAACAACAGGACTAAAAGTCTCTTTGAAATCAAGACCTTCTCTTTGGTGAAAGCCTTTGGCCACTAGTTTGGCCTTATATTTCCAAGAGCTATCAGGCTATGTTTTCTCTTTGAATACCCACTTACAACCAATAGCTTGTTGATTAGGTAGGAGCTGAACTAAATGCCAAGTCTTATTTTGCATCAATGCCTCGTATTCATCATCCATAGCCTTCTTCCACTCAGGAAATTGAAGGGCAACAGTAATAGACTTAGGTTCATCATTTGAAGTGTCAACAATATAAGCTATAGGCTTGAAAATTTCATTCATACTTCGTGTGACCATTCTAGCAGAAGGAACAACCGGTGCTAATGGAGCTTTAGAAGATAAAGAAAAAGCTGATGAGATAGGACTCTCAGCAACAGAAGGTGTTGTTGAGATAGAACTCATAGTTGTAATTGGTATACTATCACCTGTAGAATTGATAGGAGTTGTAAAAGAAGACATATTAGTAGTATTGCACTGGTTAGGTGAGGTGGGTATGATAATAGATGGGTTAGCTGAAGGAAGAGAAATAGAAGAGGGAGGTGTTGTATTGATAGTGGTTGTATGATTGAGGAGCCTGACATGTGGGAATTCACTTTCATTAAACAACACATCATGTGAAACATAAGTCCTGTCATGAGGATCCCAGCACTTGTATTCTTTGTGAGAAGAACTTTAGCCAATAAAGACACATTCAACAAACTTGTATTCCATTTTGTTTTTATTGTAAGGTTTCGTATAGGGAAAACAAGAATGACCAAAAGTCCTTAAGTGCTGATAACTAGGTACATTCCCATATAACTTTTGAAAAGAAGAAATTCCATCAATTGATTTATTTGGCCATCGATTACTTAGATAAACAATGGTATGAAACACTTCAACGCACAGTGTAAAAGGCAATGAAGCATTGCGCAATAATGTAAGGCCCATCTTAGTAATTTTGCGATGCTTCCTCTCTACAACACCATTCTGCTCATGAGTATAAGGAAAGCTCAACCTATGTTCAATTCCATGCTCCTTGAGATATTTACCAATCTTGAGAAATTCAACGCCAGAATCAGATTGAACAGCTAGGATTTTAGAATTTAACTGCAGCTCAACCATGGCTTTAAAGCTCAAAAACACATAATAAGCTTCTAACTTTGCATGGAGTGGATAAAACCATGTGTACCGAGTACAAGCATCAGTGAAATGAATGTAGTACCGAAAACCATCGAGAGAGGTATGTGGTGATGGCCCCCATATGTCAGTGTGAATAAGTTGTTTAGTATATTATGTGTGTGAATAAGCAAAAGGCAATTTATGAGATTTTCCAAGACAATAAGAATTGCAAAAATCAAAAATAGATTTCTTATTATTTGAGACATTACAAAGTTGCATTATTTGAGAAATAACAGGTGAAGATGGATGATCTAGCTTGTTGTGCCAAATCCTAAAAGAGGAAACAACGAAAGAATTCACAAAAGCACATGAATTACAATGAATTTGAACAATGGAATCAGAAATAGAAGTAGACTTATCTTTATCGAGAGAGATAGTGATAAGAGCAGCTTGACATGATTTGTTTTGTCTAATGTTGTGGAGTGGTTGAAGGATTCCTTTGAGAGGATAGAGACCGGTTTAGGTGTAGGCTCGAAACATTTCATGATTAGTCTGGAGATCCTTGATAAGATAGACATTAGAAAGGAAAGTAATTAGAATGTTGTTATCAATACAGAGACGATAGATACTCAAAAGATTCTTCGTCATAGAAGGAACATGTAAAATATCTTTAAGGTGTAAAGTGGATTTGTGTTGTGAGCAATTAACAGTGGTGTGACCAGTGTAATGTACCAATAAGTCATATCTATCACCAACAAAAATAGAATTGTGTCTCTTTATACCTGATTTATCATGACTGGTTGCTCTTGAGTCTAGATACTAGTTTGGATCCACAATGGAATCAGTAGTTGCAATATTCGCACTCTGTGATTTCTTATTATTTTGCTCAAAGAGATTCAGGCATTAAAAATCTTCATCAAATCAGTACCAATAGTCAGAGGCAGTATGACCTCTTTTCTCACAAATCTGACAAAAAATAGAAGAAGAGGAAGCTTTGGAGAAGTTTGTTTGGTTAGCACGACCTCCATGAGAGCCACCATTATTCCTACCATGGCCACGACCACATCATCATCCACAAGAACGATCATTATGACCACGACCACTCTGAGCTTGAGCAATATTGGCACTTGGCACTTCAGCAGCTTTATGAGCTTTCTCAATTCGGGCCTCTTGAGACAGAATGAGAGCCTCAATTTGATCAACAGTATAGGGATCGGTATGAGTCGTAACAACAGTGACAAAAGAGTCATACTCTTTAGGTAGTCCTTTAAAGATTTGCTCAATATGATCCGCTTCAGAGAGCGGATGTCCAACAACAGCTAGAGCATCAACACCTCCTTTGAGTTTCAGGAGGTAAGCATTGGCCGATAGACCTTGTTTCTTGGTAGTCTTGAGTTGTGTTTTTAGTTGTCGAACCTTCGCCTTGGTTTGAGAAGCAAGTGTGTCTGAAGTTCCTCCTAGATCTGGAGAGAAGTCTCACATCCAACTATTCTTGTAAGGACACCTTCAGACATGAAGCACGACATCCATGACATTAGCAATTGATCTTGACGCTGCCAGTGAAGAAATTTAGGACTCATTTTGAATCATTCTCCATCATTGCCTGTGGCGAGATATTTGTTTGGTGGCTTAGCTTCCTTGTCAATGAATTTTTGAAGATCATGTCCTTGGATAGCAATGATGATTTTTTTTTCCAGAGGAGATAGTTATGCTCCTCTAGCTTCACCAAAACAAGATGAGTGAAGGTTACAATATCCTTCCTCTAAACAATAGTGGAATCACCAGATCTAGAAGTGTGCGAGGTCTTCTCCATGGATTCAGAATCATGATGCTTTGATGCCATGAAAGAGAATGGTAAGCAGACAGAGAAACAATGAGAGAAAGAGAAGAAAGAGAGAGTGATATGTGTGGCTGAATGATTCAGTTCATTAATGATGCTCTGGGTACAATATTTATAAAATATACATGACAGCTAAGCACTCTTTAACTTAATAGACTTAGTTACATACAGCTGGCTAACTACTTTGACTATTCAACTAATACTCTAACAAGAAGCACTGTTGAGAACACTTCTTCTAATAAGAACTCAAACATTGCGAGGAATTAAATCCTTCTGCTAAACTTAATTCCTGTTAGTAGTCCAAAATGAGGGTCTTTTTTAGTTGATAGGGAAGTGTATCTTTCTATGAGAGGTAATTCTATTTAAGGTATTGTCAGGTAATAAATGTGGCTATATAGAAGATTTGTTCACTCACATGGAAACTGTTCAACCTCAGGGCTTGAATATGTGGAGTCACGCTATTGGGCCTAAGTCAGCCCAATAACTTCTACGATGGCCAGATAGATTGGGCTTCACGTGTGGGCTGACATTTATGAGTCCCAGCCTCCCTCTTGTTCTTTGATGGACACTGCCTTTCCTGGTTCAGCCCATCCCCAATTCCCCATCTTGAAACTTTCCGGTTGCATTGAAGCAGAGAAGAATGGTTAATGATGAGGCCATTCATGAGGGGAAGATATTTAAATCTAATCGCTTATCTAACAATAGATTAATAGCATTCTTGCTCTCTCTTTATTACTGTCGAACTGATAATTTATTCATCATAAATCCTATGGCTTTGAGATAGTTTGAGGGGTCACATATAAGAGATTAGATCCTAGATGATCAATTTTCTACATACTTTGTCTATAATAATGCGTGGCCAAAACATAGCCATTGTCTTGTATTAATTCTTCTTCCTCTCGAAACGACAGCGCGAGATTATGAAGTGTTTCTCTGGATGTTTGTTCTTGTTTTGCAGTTGGTTAATTTCTCAGGGTGTTAAGACTTATTCAGGGGAGTGTTTGGCATTCTTACAAAACAATTAAAAAAAGTACTTTCACTTAAAACCGACATGATTATACATTTATTTTACATATTTATTTCGTATATTATAAAATTATTTTTTAAAAAAATCTAATCTTAACATCCTCGTATATTTGTTTGCATTTTTCTTTTGGCGTTGGACTTCTCTTTGCTTCCGCTCTCCATGTTCTTAGAAGTGGCTCACTTTGTGATGTTGCTGAACTACAAACTAATCTTATTTAGGAGGGGAGGTCGTATTATTTTACTTTCTTTTAATAAAATTTGTTTTGTACCAAAAAAAAAGAAGCTAGCCTGCAGTGTAAAGGCCCGTTTTTTTTTCAAATAATAATAATAATAATAAGAGGGAAAAAATTGAGAGAGAAAGCATAAATTCATTTGAGTTTTTTTTCAGGATCTTAGGACTTTTCTTTCTTCCCACTTCTATTCACTTTTTATCTCAACTATTAAGATTAAAATTTTAACAATTCAAATTTCATATTTCAAAAAATAATTTTATGAAATATTTTTTATTATTATTTTGAATTATCCCGACTAAAATTTAGTTATTTTATTTTTATTTTATTTATTTTTTAAAAAAAATTTAGTATTTTATTTATAATTTTATAAATATGAAATCTGTTAAAATTTTAATCTTGTGATTAGGACGTGAAGTGGATGAAAATGGTGGTGGAGGGGCAACTGGAGACACCCTTTCCCATTTTTTCCGTCGTGCCAGCGAGACCAGAGTTAAGAAGCTTCAGTCGTCGCTCGCCGTCCTTGTCGGTCCGTCGCAGGTGAGCATGTCGAGGCCTCTGCATGTTGCTGATGTATGCGGCCGAACCTGAGTTCCGTTCTGCGTCGTCAGCTTGTCTTCTTCTTCCTCTGATTCGATCGACGCTTCTGGGCGTATAGGTGTGTACTGAGCTTCGGTCTTTCTTCCTTTTCGTTTTTTGTCAATATAATCAAAGGGCGCGGGCCTGAATTCCTTCTTCTTTGCAGTTGCGACTTCATCTTCTTCTTCCTCTGCCTCTTACGCCGCTGCTGTGCCGAGGTCGTTGGAGTTTTCTTTTTCTTCTTTTCTGCGGCTGCGTTTGTCATCTTCTTCCTCCTTCCTGGCTACCGCAAGACGTTGTATGTGTGGGTAATATCGAACCGTTCTCCTGCATTGCTGTCACGTTGATTGGATTTATCTGTATATTCAAAACCTCTCATTCTGATTGTTTGCGGCGATTCTTGCGCGAGGGGCTAAGGTAATTTTCTTTCCCTTACAGCTGCGCATCTGGAATAAGATTGAAATTTGGGGTTTTATTTGGCTTTAGTATTGGGCAAGAAAGCTTGCTTGAATGGGCATTTTGCTGAAATCTTACATTGTTGCAAAAGAAGAGGACATGGGTTCTGTTTATTTATAAGTTAAATATTGTTAAAAGATTTAATTAAGGAGACTTTGTGATCTATATTAGACGTTTGAAGTTGTTTGGATAGTAATATGAGACAATATATTGATTGTTTTATGACTTGATTTAGAATGCACATAAGGTGTTTGTTAAAAAGTTTGGAAGGAAATTATAAACAAATGAGTAGTTAATTGTGAGTAGAGTTATATGGGTTAATTATAGTGTGTAAATTTATTTGATTTTCATGTTATAGCAAGCGGATTTCTTTCTTCACACCTCTAGACATTTATGGATTAAGATTCGTGGGTGGAGGTTAGTTGCATATGTTAGAAGAGAGTTGGACATATAAATTGGATTTTATTTTGTGTCGGTAAGAAAGTATTAATTTGAGGTAGTAAATGAAATAGCAGTAGAAGTTATGATTCTGTGCTTAGATGATTGCTTAACTCATTAATTAAAATCTTGTGATGAGATATTATGAATATCTCATAGAAAATTATAATGGAATAATAATGACTTTGTGTTGGTCATTAAGTTATGTACTGGGGGCTTAGTAGGCAAGTGAATAGCATCTCATAATAATTTTTACAAATGATATTTTTACTACTTGCTATACTTTTAATTAAACTACCAAATTTCTAAAACAATGCTTCATCAAGGCAAATTTGTTTGGAATTACATCATTTTTTCATTGATATTTAAATATATAATTAATAAGAATTTTATTTAATGTTATTTGTTCTTCATTTTATTTATATTGAACACTCGTGCATGGAAATTGGAGGAAACTTCTGAGATATGATTTGTAAGCTTTCATGCCGAAGTCTTGTAAAATGTTCTTTCATGAGCTTTTATTATGTGAAGTCCCCCCCCCCCCCCCGGGGCTGTGGTAATTTAATTCTACACATGCTTGAAAACGTTTTTTTTGAGAACTAAGTACAGAGCACTGGTTGCTAATATTAGTACTATTAGTCATTGACGTGCCATGATTAAAACATAGCTAGCTTGATAATCTTAGGCGCATCATTGATGCTTGATATTTGTGGGCACGTCATTTGTGCTTGTTATTTGTGGGCATTGTTCTTATGCTTGTTTTCATTGCTTCAAGTCATGCTTTAATTGGTTATATACCATGTGCTTGTCCAAGCTTGTTGTTTTGTTTTGTTTAAGTCCTTTTAAATAATGAGATTTTATATTATTCGTGAATTGAACTTTTATAGATAAGTTGTTTTATTATATATTTAATTTTGTTCATTTAATAGTCTTATATATAATTTCATTTTTGCTTATGATTGCATACTTTAGAAGTTGAAAATAATTGTTATGTTTTTATGTTATACGGAGGCATATATATTTAATCTATTTCTTTCAATATTTTTTTAATTTCTATAATAGGGATGTTAATCATTAGAAAATATTTATGGCCTTAAATAGTGTAGGTGACCTTATTCCTCCAACAGATTGGTGGGGCGATTCCTTGCTCATTTTGAACTAACATATAGTTAATGTAAGGTTAAACTTATGTACTCCTTCGGTCCTAAATATAAGACCCTTATACTAGTGTGTATAAGGGTAAGTATTTAGGACCGGAAGAGTATTTACTTTGGTAATTTAGGTGCTCCATATAGGTCATAGACTGGATCATCGCCTTATTTATGTGTTGGATGGTTGTTGATCTGGGGTGGAGCTCTTTTGAACTGAATTGTACTATCAAAACCTCTACAGGAAGGTTGCTAATTTTGTTCTGCATATATAATTGAGAGATTTATATATTACAGGCTTAAGGGATATGGGCTTCTTATATTTCAGGCTAGTCACTCCTAAATTTTCAAGACGTGGCATAGCAAGTTTCATTTACTTGTGGATTTTCCATAGAAAAACAATTGAACTTACAAATTTAAGTGAACATGCAAAGCCTAGTGGTTAATTGGGTTTGAGAGGACTTAACTCCTCTAAAGTTCACGAAGTTTGAGCAAATATGAGCCATTGATGAAATGAAGTTACATGATCATGCCATGCAATAAATATGGTCATGCTTTGCTTTAATGAGTCCAACGCTGTAAATTGTGGTGCCAAAGGCTTCCAATTTTCCCTCCAATTTATGTGCTGTATTATATGTTGTTCTCTAAAGCTGAGAGACTAACAGCAAACACTGCTTTAGCAAAATCTTCAACACAGAAAATGATTCAGCCGGATCAAAACCTTCTAGCTGATGTTAGGATGGTTAAGATCAATTCCATAACAAGAGAGTAGTATCACATTCACACATTAGGACTCAAATTTCCTTATCACCCATTAGTACGCAACCTGCTAGTGATGCCCATTTTCTTATCACCCACTAGGACTCAGTTCAATTCCTTAGAATATACTCTTTTTGATACTACATGTAGGAGCTAGTTAGGATATTTACTTAAAATATACAGAACACTTAGTCGCCACCATCGGCATAACTGGCAAACTCGAGAACCTACTGATTGCTGCCCATGACGGATAGTCGGAGATAAAGGAGGCATATTGACATTCTAATATGATTTCCTTTTTTGGGAATTAGAAGTGTTGTGGCTAATATGTAAACATTTGTAAACTACACATAAGGATAATAAGTATAGCAAGACCTAGGATCATAAAATGCTTCCCTGTCACATGCCATGTTTATCTAGCACTGATTGTCGTACCAGTAATTTCGTTTACAGAAGGATCTTTAGATGTTGAAGATTCTGAAAGCTCTGCATTAGAATTGAATAGGAATGCAGGTCTTCGAGGTGAGGGGAGGGACACTTCATTGCCAAGCATGTAGATTACTTCTGACATGGAAGGCCTATAGGAGGCATTTTCTTGCACACACAACAGCCCAATATGTATACATCTTCGGGCTAAGTCAATTGGATATGCTTCACCAAGTATTGGATCCACTATGTCCAAGGATTTTTCTTCTCTCCACATCTCCCACACCTACCAAAAAAATTGGAATATCATTTCATTATTTGGAGGAACAAAAAATACCCGTCAAAATTTTGAAGCCAATATTTCTAGGGCTTTCAAATTAAATGAGAGGAAATGAAACAGATCAATGATTAGTTGAATTTCATCCTCTTGTATCTTTAGTCTTACATGTCCAATCAAATTTACAGATGATCTTTCTTTATCGTGATCTGTATTTCTTTTTCCACAAATAATCTCTATCAACAAAATCCCAAAACTGAAAACATCAGATTTTGTTGAATATTGTCCTTCCATTGCATATTCTGGAGACATATAGCCGCTGCAATAAGAAACATAGTTGTAACATGAGATTGTTATTGAACTGAGTTCGTGATTTTATTAAAAGTATGAGTAAGATTTTTGTTCTTACTATGTCCCAACAATTCGTTTTGTATTTGCTTGGATTTGATCCTCTCCAAATATTCTAGCCATTCCAAAATCTGAAATTTTGGGATTCATTGCGAGGTCTAAAAGGACATTGCTAGCTTTAAGATCTCTATGGATTATTTTCAACCTTGAATCTTGATGAAGATAGAGGATGCCTCGAGCAATTCCAATGATGATGTGAAAACGTGTATCCCAATCTAGTGATGATCTTCTATCCCTATCTGCAATGAACCTTAATAGCTTCTTAACATTGAAAATGTTGGAAACCTTATCTTGATATATCAAACACATACAAATTAAATAGGGAAAATTTCATTTTATAGGACCAAATGAGAGACATATTTTGTATTATGGGTCAATGGAAAATCCTTAAAAGCAATATTAGTCTAAAGAAAAGAGAAGGAGAAGAACACGCACCAAAGAGAAAGAAGTCCAAGCTTTTGTTGGGTAGGTATTCATATATCAGCATCCTTTCTTTCTTATGAATGCAATAACCAAGCAACTTTACAAGATTCCTGTGTTGTAATCTTCCAATCACCTTAATTTCATTCTTGAACTCTTGAGTTCCTTGTCTAGAACTTTGAGACAATCTTTTCACTGCTATCTCTTGTCCATTAAATAATAAGCCCTGAAATTAAAAGGTTGTCACAATCCAGATAAGCAATTAATCATTAAAAAAGTCTTGCAATAAATGAGCAGCAAGGCGAATTGGAAATGACAAGATGCGATGCAAAAACTAAGAACAGGTCATGGCATATTAACAACTCAATAAATTTTTTGGTGATTAGATTGTGTGTACAAGAGTGCACAGGAATATTTTCATTTTTAAATATTTAACTTACCTTGTACACAGAACCAAATCCACCTCGCCCCAATCGGTTCTCATTGGACAATTTATTTGTTGCAACCATTATGGTTTTAATGCTGAAACATGGTAAGCTTGGTTGTGCTCTATTTTCATCATGGTACTGCTCTTCTATTGGAGAATCTATTTTCATTTGTTCTTCAGTTATTTCACCACCTAAACATGGCAAAAATGAGAGGTTGGAATAACACTAAGAAAATTTGAATAATATTAACAGCCGAACAAAAAGATCCCCAAAAACCAATGCCTTCGATATCAGCTTAAAAAAAAAAATAGCCACAGGAAAAAAAAAACATTTGATTATCCGACGTCAGCATACATTCATACATCCATGTATCTTAATTAGTTTCGTGGGGTCAAAGGAAAAAGGGATGAGTTGCAAAAGATTAAATTAATGATAGGTAGATCCAAAAAAAGAAAAAAGAAAAAAGAAAAAGAAATCTTAAAAATGAGTTACAAGTATCGATTCAAAACCATTGCAGAAAGGAACCCAGTTGCAAATATAAAGAGTTATATTTGAAAATTAAATGCTTTATTTACAATTTAAACTCATGAATTTACAGTTTGAATCAATATTTACCGGAAAAAAAGTATCAGAAGTAATTGTCAATAATTTGCTCTTTTTTTGGATCCATCAGGTCCATATGTTATGGGTTTGTAATGACAAGTTTTATAGTAGAAAATAACAACTACTCACTTGTTATTAAGATTTATTGGTAATTATTTTGTTTCTTCAGCTTTATTGTAATTCTCCTATATATTGTTTGTTCTCTAGCCATTTTTCCTTCCATCTTTTCCCTAAATTCACTTAAGGATAATTATTTTATTGAAACATAACTTGTCCCAGAGAAAGTATATAAATGAAGAGCGAATTAAAGTATATAAATAAAGAGCAAATTACAATGAAATCTTAAAGAAGAAAAATAATTACTAAAAAGTTTTAGTAACTAGCTAAGCAGCCTATAATGACAAATTTTAAAACAAAAAATGATAATATTTAGAATTTGTTTTGTAATTATTATTATTTTTCTTGAGACGCCGTTGTAATTCTCCCATAAATGAAAAAAGTAGTCACCTCTTATTTTCCTTATCCGAAAGCAATAAGCACACATGGCAATTAGAAGAACAATCACGGCGAAAGTAGCTACTGGAATTCCCACCATCCCAGACTTTGGAAGCGGTCCTTTTGATTTCTTGGCATAATTTGCTGAGAAAATTAAATGGAAACAAAGTGGTCTTTGAGACAAAGGAAAAAGAAATTAAAACCAGTAAAAGAAATATAAACACAAACATATGCATACCAAGTTCAACAGCATCAACACGAACATATAAATCATGGCCTTCTTCACTTAGTACCATGGTGTCCAGCAAATCTCCATGCCAAGTCAAGCACCCACTTCCTCCATTTCTCACATCTGAAGCCGCATAGCCATTACAAGAACAATTTCTCAAGCACTCTTGTTCACAATCCTCCACTCTCAAACCTTTCTGAAAATTGGCTATGGAAGTATCTGGAATCTTCACACCGTCTACTTTAATGAAGCCTTCTCCATTATTCCCACACAAAGATGGTCCTTTCTTCCTCACACAACCAGCTGATTCATCGTTCATGTACCACTCATTAGGGTTACTAGGTTCAAACCCCGGTAGGCAAAAACACTTGTTGTAAGCATAGTTGAAAGAATCACACTTGCTATTGGCTCCACAAGTTCCATAGGTTTCACAATTGATTTCTGGGTATGATCCATATAGCTTCCAATCATTTATATCATGATCCCATTTATGTGTTTGCATGTATCCCGTCGGAACAACTGAGATCCGGAAGATGGCGGTGGGATCGACGGCGTGATATGTGAATCCGGCAGAATTATCATCGTCTGTGATAGTAAGGTTGAAAGCATATGACATTTCTCTTCTCATAGATGGCAAACCCACAAGTATTTCGCCATTGAAGAACCCACCTCGCCACAATGGAACTTTTTTATTATATAGAAAAACTTGATCTTTCCCAGATGTGTTGAACCTCAGCGAGATACTTCCTGTTCCTGGATCATCTTGTGTCTTCCATGACTGCAACAACCAGTTCTGACCAGTTCTTTTGTTGAAACCCAGTTTGGCATATGGAAGAAGGGTGTCAGTGAGATGATCAAAGCTTTGCCACAACGCATTTTTGGAGTCATTATTTTGAATCAGAACGAGATTACCTAAATCAGTGAGCTGAGCCATAACTGTATTACTTGGAACAGGGACAGAAACGTTCGAGGACCAAATGGGCAAGTTGGTGGAGTTCTGGCGGAGGACGAGATTTCCATTGTTTGGGTTGAGGAAGAGAACTCCAGAAGAGTCATTTATGGGTTTATCTCTATTGGCAACCCAAACAAAAGTTTGCTTTGGCAAGTTATAGTACCAGATTCCAACAAAGCGAAAGGTAGATTTGCCTGGAGAGAAGAAGCCAAGAGCAAATTTTCCTCCTTTAGAAATGAGAAGCTCTCCATTATCGCTAATGGGTTTGCCAATGGTTATGGCGTCAGAAGAAGAAGCTGCACAAAACAAGAAGCAGTAATTGAAGAATAAGATTATATATATGAAAATCAGCCTCATAGCTATCTTCGTTCTCAGAACTTCCATTACTAATGGTATACAAATTGTAGCTGATGATACTTCTTGTATAAAAGGTGAGGAGTAGTTTTCTTAGTTTTCTCCTGCATTACATGATTTTTAGATCTATATAATTGAAAAAATGGAAAGTAAAACTCGTCAATACATGAAGGTCAATCACTAATTATTTTTTTAGTAAGAGAAAGTTCAGAGGAGTTGGGTTCAAGTGCTTACCAGAGTCGGGATATACTTATAGGTTTAAAAAATGCTTATAAAGATATTCACAGATTGCCCACTAATAAAATCCTTATACAAGTAGTTAGATTAGAATCCACAACTTTTTGGGTTATGAGGCGACTCTTTACTAACTAGACCAGTTCTTATTGGCATAAGTTATAAATAATGTTAATTTTTTCAAAAAAAGACAAATTATTCATTGACGTTGAAGTTTACGCATGGGAGGCCATGTAATGTTAGCCATTTACGATTTCACATCCAATCATCAATGTACACACCCAAGACTATACTATTTGCTTCTTCAAGAAAAAATATAAGGCATCTCATTCGTAATATAGGAGTTAGTTAAAAAATAGATTTACTCATAAATATAAGATTTTAAATAATTTTGTCTCTCATTTAATTCTTTGGTCATAAATGTAGGAAATAGCTTATGAGTTAGTCTTAATTTCAAATGCAAGACCTTAATCTATTTTATCTATCATATTGATCAAATTTTTTCAAATTAATTTATTTTATTTATTTATAAGTTGATATATAATATAATGTTACATAGGAGTATTTTAGAGAAATCAAGTTATATTTGTTATAATTAATTAATTTATCTAAGTTTTAATGTATTTAAATTTAATAAATAGATAGCAGGAGGTTTTAGAAACATCTACTTGCTTGTGCGAATTTATAATAGTATAAAACATCTGCCTGCATAGGCAACCCTCAGAGATATCGCTGTCCGAGTCAATTACGAGTTATTACGAGCCACTGAAACGTTTCGTGATCGTTACGAGTCAACTCTTTAGAGGCATCATTGTCCGTCCGAGTCAACAGAAGGCCGAGTCAAAGAAACCATATCAGTCTTTTAGTGTCACAATTCAAACATTGCGATAAAGTGGAGGAAGTTTTTTCCAACTTTGCATGCACATTCCTTGAATTAAAAGCCGTCTCATTCAGACGACTTCTTCATCGGTGACTGTCCAAGTAAACACACCGAATTACAAATAAGGAAACTGTCATGAAGTCTCGAGAAGGAAATATAATTGTTAAAAGTCTTAGTGATACAGAACAGCTAGCATACAATGACAAGTCTTAATATAAAAAATAGTAATTATTCACTTGTCATTAAGGCATTTCGGTAATTTTGTTCTTTCTATAAGAATTCATAATAATTCTCCCTTGAATTATTTGTATTAATCCCAAGGGGAAAAAAAATTGTTAAGGGCAGATATCTTATCACCCTTATGTGGACCTGCTTAATTCCAATTAATTGGAATAATCTAATAGGTTTGATAGAACCTGAAATAGCCCTGGTGAGGGCGATAAATTAATGTTTTATGTAGGGGTATATTGTGTTGATTAAACCTGAAATAATCTGTCCCATGCCCACCATTTACTACTTGGAGGGTATGGGGCATCCCCTGAAAAATTTATTTTTTGTTTTAGGATAAAATTTATCTTATATATTCGATATTTTAAGGGTTAATGTCTTTGCTCTTTCAAGTTTATACGAATTTTGGTCTTAGTTCCTTAAGTTTTAAATTATAGGTTTTGATTTCTCAAGGAGTAAGATGATGTAAATCTTTATTAAATTATGGGGGACCACTGTTTTAATGGTGTATTTGGCTTAAAAGAAGAAAGAAGAGGAAAGGGATTTTAATAGAAGGAAAAGGAACAAGAAAGAGGAGAGGATTTTTTTAATATTATTTTGTTTGGATTGATGAGGGGAAAGAGAAGGGGAGGTTTTTATGATTTGATATATGATCTATTAAAAGTACAACAGACACCATCCTTTTTCTGCCTGAGATAAGATCAAAAGGTTAATATAGGGATATTGAAAACTAATTCCCCCTAATTTGGGAGGGGAGATTCTAAAAAATTTCAGCAATCCAAATAAGGGGAGGGGAGTAAAGTCGCCTCCCCCTCGTACCAAACAAGTCCTAAATGAAATGAAATTTGAAGGAGCAAAACTAAAAAAGATAATTAATCTCTGAGTCTTTATAGTTTGATTTGATTTTTAATCAAGTCCCTATAAAATTTTTTCTTTTTATCTTATATTTTTACGTTCACATGTTTTTAATTAGGCTCTCTATTTTTTTTCTTTTTTATCATATCCTTATAGTTTCACTTATTTTTTAATTAGATGCTTTGTACTTTTAAAAAAATAATTTATTAACTTTATTCTTTAAAATTAATTTATTTTTAAATTAATAATTATATAACTGGACAAAATAATTAATATAATCATTTAGTAATTAATAATTAATCAGAATAATCAATTATACTTAACTATAAATTATTTATAATTATATTCTAATTTTATAAAATTTTATTATTATAATTTGAATTTATAATTACAAAAATTAGAATTAAAAAATAAATAATGTATATGTTGAACTAAAAATTTAAAAGAATATTAACTGAAGATTGTTATAATAATTTATCATCTATAGCATATTATTATTTATAGAATAAAGAATAAAAACAACAAGGACCTAATTAAAAATAAGGTAAAACAATAAGGACCAAATAAAAAAAATTATAAGTATTTGATTAAAAACATGTGAAATTATAAGGATTTGATAAAAAGAAAAAAATTATAGGGACCTGATAAAAAATTAGTTGAAACTAAAAGGACCTGCATATTAATCATCCCAAACTAAAATGAAGACAAATTTAACGGACAAAAAATTATATTAATATATAAAATTATTTAAGATAAATTAAACTGAATACACAAATCATTAGCAGACAAGACATCAAATTCTGCATATTAATGTACCGCTCTGTTTCTATATATATATTATTTGTAAGGAAAAATTCTGTTCTAGATATAAGTTATTTGTAGGGTAATTAATGACATTTTCCAATTTTACTCTTATTGAATAAGATAAAAAAAATATGTGAGAGAAAACGTACACCATTTTTCCAATACGCTTTCTTTAATTAATGGAGGCAAATGTGGAAACTTTTGTTAATTTATTGTATACTCTGGTATGCGGAAGCGAAGTATAAGTGACTTTTGTGTGTGTGTGTGTGACTTATATTTATACACACACACATATATAGAAAAAAAAAAGTAATAGTTATATGTGCAAAAAGTTCCATTTTAGTTTGACTTTTGAGGCACCAACCACTCCCAGCCCCCATTAAACACCACAAGCATAATGGTGTAATAAATAAATAAAAACCGCGTTGAATTTAAATTGGGTGGGTCGGTTAGATCTATAGAATAATTGTAATTTACTTATTTTTCAAACTTCTCGGAAGGTCTGGTTCTCTGAAGATGTTCCTGTGCCTCGCAAATCCTACAATCTTGAACAAGTCGTCCAAAAGCTTTAGAGATAGCAAATCCTATCAGATCTTATTTATAAACTGGAAAAGAAATTTTCTTAACATAAATTACATTATTGAAATTCATTATATGAATGTAAAATTTGATCGCTAATTTATTGAATTTCTGTTAAAGTGTATTTATCTGATTTTATTTATAAGTCATTTCTAAACAAAATTTAAATTTGTTAATTCTGCCTTAAATTTAATAGCTTTTTCACTTTATCCCTAATTAATATATATAATTTTCACAATAGTAAATGAAGAATAAAACAGTGCTACCTGTAGCCCTTAATATAAAAACTAACTGTGAGTTGAATATAGTCTATGACTATAAGATCTCAATCTATTTGGTTTTCCAAATTCATAATTTTTTTCTCTAAAATATTTTTATTAATTATAAGGGGTTCCTACTATAGTTAAATAAGACAATTTATGAAAATCAACATATATTTGTAATAATTACCCAACATAACTAATTTTTTTAACTTTCTTATATTAGTTATCTAACTCTTATATTATAAATCAGAGATAATGCATTATTTATATTAAAAATTTAATGAAGTAGCTTATAAATAAGATGAAAAAATTCTCTCTCTGTCTTATGAATAAGATCCAAAAATAATATATTAGATAGAGATAAAGTTATAAAGTTAATAAATTTAAAAAAAAAAGTTAATTAGATTTAAGATTTTTCTTTATTGGGATAAAACATGTTGAACATGCCGTAATCAAAAAAGTATTCTCCAACCCATGAGATTCACAATTGATGAATCTGGTTTGGAGGTTTGTCCATTAAGCTTTTAGCTTCTAATTTTGATTACTTCATCCTTTAGGTCAAGCTGTAAAACCCCTAACCTCAATACATTATAATCTCATCATAACACCACTACTATGGTAGAAAAGGAAGATTGTTAAAACAAGCTACCATAGTAGAAGGAAAATTTCATATTTTTAGAAATTAACTTTCAAACTCGGGTCAACCCGTAAAACGTTGCACGCAACTAAAATAATCCATTCATATTCACTGGGCCTCCGAGCCTCTGGCCCGGGTAACAACATACACCCAAAAATCAGCCCATTCAATTGGTTTTCCACCAAGTAAAACAATTCCATAAAACAATAGCAATGGCCTCCGGCCAACCAAAATAGGGAGATACATTCTATTCAATTTACAACAAGGCCGGGAAATCAAAGATACCAAAAAGCGGTCCTAAATGTGGCAATATAACTACTACTCATACATATACAAATGCTAGAGGCCTAAAGCTAACCCAGCTCAAGCCTCTGCGTCTCTTCCCGAAGGTGCACGCCTAGAACCTTCACCTGAAAGTATTGTAAACCACGGGGTGAGACAAAGTCCTAGTAACCAGCCTTTCCAATACTAGGTACTACTAAATAGGTGCTCGTGAGGTGTCAAGTGGGGCAGTTCACAAATAATACATAATGATAGCCACAACAATTTATGCAAGTGCAATGATGCAATCCCATCAACCA